TATGTAATATATAATAATTAGTTTAAAGTATAGACTGCATGATTTTCGATATGAAGTCGTCTTGTCTCGGGTGTGTTCACACTGCAGGAGTATCTGGGCTAGCGTTCCCTCACTGCTGTGTTTACACTGTGAGATGGATTAGCGACAGGGGTTTCACCCTGCATGACTTTACTTGCTGCTGACAACTTCATCCAAACTACGTTACTAATAAAATTTTTCTTACATTTTAATTAGTGTCTTGCGATTTTGTAGCAGTGTAATGCATTTCATGTGTAATAATGGACACACACTGAGGATCTGCGACATGTTTTAAGCGCTCAGTGATCAAACCTTCATGGCTGCCCGTATAGAGGTTCCAGGAGAAGATGGAGGATGGAATTTTCTGCTTCACCTGCTGTAGCCTCATCACTTTCCCGATCTCAATCTTCTCTGGCCTGAACAGCAACATGCATCATGCATTAATACAGTGCGATGTCATTGACCTCACAGGTAACGCTTGCTGTAGGTGGACTCACAGTTTGTAGGGCAGAAATGGTTGAGAGAGTGACCGGAGGCAGGCCTGGTACACATCTTTTCCCCCATTCACAAAATGTCCACGCCAAACTGTGTAGCAGCGCCGGCCTATAAATACAACCACAGATACAGGCGTCAGTCAGAGCAGAAGGCTGTGTTATTTCCCCATCCAGAATAAATTAAAGCTGGGTTTGCACTGGGCTTTTATACTCGCCGCGTTCGCCGTTGTGATATTCTTTAAAATGACAGGGGGCGCTCCAAAGAAACCCACCGTTAAATCAGATGCATAAACAGAGAAGTAAAGTTTCCGGAACTGCGTCATATCATTGATATCAGTCGATATTTAAAACAAACTATTTTTATAAATTATTTTAAAAATTATAAAGACTTTCATAACCATTAAAAGATTTGTTTTTAGTCAAACTTTGATGCATCACTTGCTTTTGTTCATATCTCGGACAATTTTACCTTTTAAAGTTTATTAAAATATTAATGACAACAGAACATGGGTTACTCTACACATATATTATGACAAGAATAAGAGCAAAAAAAAAAGAGCACACTTATTAAAAATACAGTTTTTTGAGATTTAGCCCGCTCCACAATTTACACATTACTGTCCGGCAAGTTTCTGACTTAGCCAAAATCAAGTCGCACGCACCTAAAGCGAACCTCTGCAAACTCTGTGATGACGTCACATTTGCTGTGCGCAGTCAAGCGAACGAGCGGATGAGTCGAGTATAAATCAGGTTTAAGACACCCGATTCAGATCATCAGCTCGTAAGAGAGAAATCCATGAACTGATGCTTGTGTGTTGTGTTTAGCCAATCATATTTCAGCACCCGGGTGACCTTGGTGGAAAACAGCGTACTTCATTCAATCAGTCAGGAAAACTCAACGCATGTGGCCACGACCGGAAATGCAACCTCCGGGTGGACAGTAGCAGCTCCAGAATGAGAAGTTCCACAAGGTGGTTATTAATTAACAAATAATATAAATATTACAAACGTTGGGTGAGGCAGTGGCGCAGTGGGTAGTGATGTCGCCTCACAGCAAGAAGGTCGCTGGGTCGATCCTCGGCTCAGTTGGTGTTTCTGTGTGGAGTTTGCATGTTCTCCCTGCCTTCATGTGGATTTCCTCCGGGTGCTCCGGTTTCCCCCACAGTCCAAACACATGTGGTGCAGGGGAATTGAGTAGACTAAATTGTCTGTAGTGTATGAGTGTGTGTCTGAATGTGTGTGTGAATGTTTCCCAGAGATGGGTTGCGGCTGGAAGGGCATCCGCTGCGTAAAAAACTAGCTGGATGAGTTGGCGGTTCATTACGCTGTCGCGACGCCGGATTAATAAAGAGACTAAGCCGACAAGAAAATTAAATTACAAACGTTAACATTCGGTGAGCAGGTCACACTGTAACCTCACGTCCTAATAACATGCTACATGACCAGTGATCAGCAATATGCCTGACAGAAGTGTAAACACAGCCATTCAGCAGCACAGAATAGAGCACTCACTGCACTCCAGCACAATGCTGAGCGTTATCATCTGATGAACACACATTACAGCTCTTGAACATGAGTAAATGTGGATGCTGGATCACTGATATGTGTTGGTTTGCACTGAGTCTCAGTTCTGAAGTTCAGTTTCAGACGCTTTATTCTATTCTCCAGATCTGAGCAGATCTGCTGCTGCTGCTGTCAGTAGTGTGCTGATAAACGTCCTGTAGACTCACATTATTATCAGGGCTTGAAATTAACCGTTTTGCTTGGTAGCACCGGTGCTAAAACTTAGAAATGTAGGCGCATCAGCCAAAATTTAGTCGCACCCACCAATTGTAAGCACCGTTACTACAAGTGTCATACAAACAGATTACAAACAACAGTAATCAAACCAACAAGCAAATATATATATATTATATATTATATAAATGCCCCGAAGGCGGGGCAAGCATTACGGACTTGCCTTTGTTTACTGCAGCAAGTTGACATGACAACTGTTTTAACCCATTCCTGAGCGCTGCGTTTCACATTTCAACTGCAGAGATGCATTCTGCGTCAATGTCTCCCGAATCCGCGCATGTGCTGAACATTTTACAGTAAAACTGGTCGCACACAACAATTTTATGCAAAAAAAATGCTCCCAAATATAGTTTGAGGTCGCATAGATAAAATGTCGGGCGCATATGCCACCAAAATGATCGCAATTTGAGCCCTGATAGCATTTAACACTGAATAAAGCCCATGAGCTGTAGCTGAGCTGACGTTTGTTCACCTGTGAGAAAAGAAGCCGTTTCTAAAATATCAGTTTCAGGTGTTGGTTAAGACAGAAATATTGTCTATCGTGGGTCAATGCTTTTACAAAGACAACGGATTAAATCAGCCTAACATCAGCCCAGTGTTGTGAATTTAGCAATTTTGCTGCTAGATTTAGCAACTTTTCATACGACCCCAGCAACTTTCTTTTCTAAAAGCACCCAGCAACACATTTAGCATTTTTAACATTCATGTGGCGACTTCTAGCAATTTGTGACTGAAAAGAGCCGGGGCTGCAGGCTTCACTCAGCAGAGTAAATCACTAGCTCAGACAGTCTTTCATAACGGTTAATTGACTGATATTGTTAACATGGATAATTGTTGGTCATTTAGGCAGCAATAAACTCCAATAGTGCTACAACTGTTGTCATTTTCACAAATGTGCCACACTTCAGTGCATTTCTCACAGCACTATTTACATTTGCACAACAGCTAATGCATTTAATTCAAATAATGTTTTTGCTGAGACGGCCAGTCAGTTTGAGAAAACATTATTTCATATTCCACATAAAGGTTACGATTACACAATGACGTCATCACGCAAACTAAATGTTAATAAGAACCTATTTATCGTGCATCTGGATGTAATGTTTTAATATAATCTAATACATGGCACCGCAGAGAGTAGAGACATGACGGGCGTACGCTTGTCAGATACTAGCGATGACGTCATTGATATGCAAATCAGTGTGTGACGTCATCTGGCAGCATTTAGCTACTTTTCACTGGAAATAGTTGGCAACACTGAATCAGAAATTTGGCTTCATAGTCAGAGTCACATCAATCTGGCAACCTGCGCTTGCATGCACTCGCCAGAGGAGGAGCCGAGCCAAATGTGTTTTGATTTAGGAGTGCAATACCTAGTTCAGCCACTGGGTGTCAAACTGACATACTGCACCTTTATATAATCAGAGAAGAAAATACAGAGTCCAGTGTGGTTAAATATACTGTTATCCTGAGGAGAAATCATGCCTACCTACACTCGTGCCAGCAGGCTGACTGTTGGACCTGAAAAACAAAGACAATTTCAATAAAACAAACAGAGTTTTACAAGCCACATCAGCGAGAGTACAGGGGTACAGTCAGGTACCTGAAAGGAGGCAGTGGTTTAGGGATGACCGTTGAAGCTTCTTTGCCTTTAAAGTAATAAGAGACCACAGCATACGGACACACATGCCTTGGCCTGGAAGAAATCTCGAAATCCACATACTCATAGAAGTATTGCTGCGAATACAACAACAAAAAGCAAACAAGTCATTGGGGAAGGGTGATATCCTACTGTTTGCAATATACCAGTAAACATTTGAGTTATCTTAACAATAACCTATAATCAGTCAGTGCAGTGTTTATTACAGCAGTGCAGTTGTTGACTAACAGATTCACTCAAATACTTTTCCTTTAAATTCAGTCTGCTTATTTTTACCTGCGTATACTCAAAAGCCATGTGTGACTGTGAGGACGTCACGCGAGTCGAGCTCTTGGAGAAATGGCTGTCAAATTTAGGTGTGGGATCAATCCCTCTGGACGTGCGGTTATCTGGATATCGGGATATACAGTCGTGCACGCTCTTCACCCGACCCTGACGTACAGAAAACCAAACCATCTCAGACTCAAGAGCAACGCAGTGTTCAGGTGAAAACATTAGACTGCCGATGTACCTTTATCACTTTGAAGATGATGATCTCTCCTGCAGCTCCAGGCTCAAACGGGTTGATTTGAAGTAAATCAGAGAACTGACACAGGTAAACGCCTGCAAAGTCAACACACTTTTATTCCATGCACATCTGCACAGTGTCAATCAGCTGAATTGAGAAGAGCAATCTTCACTCATTCATTTTCATTAATCTCTCATTTCATTGCCTGTGATTCCCCGCAGGCTCCTTCCCATCAAAACTCAAGATCTAGTGCTTTGAAATTAGATTTAGTCTGAAAGTTTGATCCTTCACCTTTAGATGGATTCCCCAACATGCTCATCCAGCTGCTGCCAACAGACAGACCTTTCTCACACACCACAGAGACCTGCGGGCAGCAGAGCAAACACATCAGTGTACAAACACTGCAGCAGACGCCACACCAAAATAAGAGTGGCAAATGAGCATCTGTAAAGAAGGTGAAGCAAAATAAAGTGTGAAGTAAGCCGGCTGTTTACCTTTTGAGCATCACAAAGCAGGAAGCAGA